CTTTCTTTCTTCTCTCTCTCTCTCTCTCTCTCTCTCTCTATATATATATATATATATATATATATATATATATATATATCTCATCATTGTTTCAACGATGTTATTCGTGGTCCTCCAGATGTGCTCAAAAAATTGTGACTCAACTGGAAGCGTCGCCGAGTCCCAGGGACTCGAGCAACGTGTCCAGCTCGACGTCCTCGTCATCGAATAAATCCACGTCGAAGAGGCCTCAGTCGGCGCCGAAGTTGTCGGTGGTCCAAGAGATCCAGAAGTCGAAGAAGGAGAAGGAAAGGGAGAAGGAGCGGGAAAAAGCGGAGAAGGCTCGCCAGAAGGAGGAGGAGAAGGCGGAGAAGACGAGGCAGAAGGAGGCTAAGAAGTTGGCCAAAGAGGAGAAGAAGAGGGCGAAGAAGGAAGCGAAGGCGAGGCGAAAGGAGGCCGAAGAATCCCTCCTTAGGGAGGAAAAGTAGTCTTCGAGTCGAGTAGGAGCGACAAGTAGAAAAATCCGAGAACGATCGATAAGCCTGGAAAAAAGAAAAAAAAGAAAAAGGAGGATTTCGAATAATCACTAGGATCTCATCGTGCTCGGGGGTGCAAGGTGTTCAAGCTGTGTCGTGGACGCGCGATCGTTATTAAAGAAAGAAAGATAAAAAAAAAAAAAAGAAGAAAAAAAAGAAAAATCAAAAGATTCACAAGAGCATTTTGTAATTCTATCTAGGGTCTAGTTAGTGTTCTTCTCGAGACGCGCGGCCATTTCGATGATTCAAAAGTAGGCAGTGGTGTCTACTACCTAATATGATATAATATAATAGCGTTTTCATTCCGGAGAGGAAGGGTCTATTTATCGACTATACTTATCGCTTTATTTAAAGAACAATTTAGGATAAGGCATTTTAACGTTTTATAAAAGGGCGAGGTGGGGTTAGTGGGACGCTTTCGCGGGACAGCTTGAACCGATGCCAATCCCGAGGGATGTGAGAGAACGTGTAGCGACGATAGGGGGGAAAAAAAAGAAGGAAAAAAAAAAAAACGTATATCTAAGAAAACCTAGAAGCGGCCAAACATAGTAACCTGTCATATCGAGTTATCGCGGACTAATAATACTAATCGATAGGAAGACTCGAGAGAAAAGCGTAGCGCTACGTTGCTATTATTTGATTATCGCGTAATCTATAATATAAACCTTTATCCTGGGCGTTTCCTTTTTGTAGGAACAGTAACCTCGTGACGTTTCGTCGTTACTTTTTTTCTATAGGATCATCATCGATCGCAACTCGAAATCGGTCATCTCTAGTTGGTTACTACGAGCCACCATCCACGTTCCAAAAACCTATTTTTCGAATAATATCTGCTTCACGGACAATACTTTTGAGTACTGCGTAGCTTTGCGTTGCGATACGCAGTTATCGATCTCCCCGCAGTTCGTCACATTCTTGGAAAACTTGTCGTTGAAGATATATATTCATCATTAACGGGAATCTCCTCGATCGTGCATCTCGATATAATCCTTCTTCCTCCTTCAATTCGTCGATTCGTAGAAATCGACGTCGTAGAAATTCGTTAGAAACTCGTGTTAAAAACGTTAAAAATTCTCGCTGTTCCGTTCTTCGTTCATCCACGACGATTATATACGGAAAAGAAAACGAACGTGTCGAAGGCAATGAGGATCATCAGACGTGGAAAGAAATTCCATTTTATCGAGTACCGATCAAAAAGTATCCATATCTTTTTTTTTTCTTTTTTTTTCTTTCTTTCTTTCGTTTTCATCCTTGCCGATTGATTATTATTTCATCCTGTTCCCTTCGCGCATACGTACTCCTGCACACGTACGTGCATGCATACCTGCGAGACGAGTATATCGACTCGGGGGGAGGTAGACGAACGCAATTCACGTATACACATATACCACGACGATAAGCCTAAGCAAGGGTGTTCGATTAGAAGAACACGCGGAAGGATGTTTATTCTAACGGTGGGGCAGAGTTTAAAGGGAAAAAAAGTGAAGAAAAAAGTAAAAAAAAAAAAAAGAAAAAAATAAAAAAAAAAATAAAAGAAAAAGAAAAAAATAATCATAGTACAATACGATAGATAGATAGTTAGATAGATAGAATACGACGAAAGCAGAGTTTCGAGTGCAGCGCGTGCCTCGTTTAATCGACTTCGTGATTACTTCGTAGATGAGTAGCGATTTTATCGATTCGTTTAAATCCTCTTCTCTCTCTCGAGACAAGGCTCGAGAAGCTTAATTAATCGATCAACTACTTGCAAAACTATTACCCTTTGCCACGTTGCCCTAGGCGCTATTTCAAAGAGTCCTCTTTATCCCGTAACCCTTTCCACCGAGCGGAAGTGATAAATTACTCGTTCGACGGGAAGCGATCCGTGTTTCATGAACTTTACAGTACTCGTAATATTCTCTTTGGATGTTATTCTTTAATCTCTGGTATTCAAACTACTAGTTTTAAAACTACTTTTAATACTTGGAGCATGGAAGAAATTGCGTTGTATTCGAAGAATTCGATCGATTCGGCGTCGAAGCGTTGAAAAGCCACGGTGACGAGGAAGAGTTAGAAAATTGCGCGGGCGAATTGTAATTAAACGTTGTGTAAAACGTTTGTAATGTTTTAAGCAGCGCGGGTTTTAAGAAGAGCGAGAGAAGGAGAAAAAGTAGGTTGAATATCACGGAGTATACACGATTCACGGTTACGAGACTAATCCCGCGATTAAACCTCTTTGAAACTGTTCTCGCCCCCCCTGTCCCTGCCCCTTACTTTTTCAACCCCTCGGTTCGATGAGCGATACTGGATAAAATGATGCTCGGGGATAGAATTAATAAATGTTTGATCGATATTCTCGTATTATTATTAGACAGACCGATGGTTCTTCTTTTCGTTCTTGGTATACGAGTTACATTTTGAAATTTCTTTTCTTCTTTTTTTTTTTTTTTTTTGTATTTCATCTCTAGAGATTTATTGTTGTTGAGCCAGCATCGCTCGGGAATCAAGCTCAAGCAGCCAAAAATCAAAAGCAATTTTTTACAACGCGCGACAATGATATTTACAAAGAGCGATGGGATGCGAGGAAAAGAGAGACGAGGAAGGAGAGCAAGAAACGAGACGAGAAGAATTTCGAAAATGGTATGGATAGGATCGCGGCAAGTATCGATCGGTAGACAATCTCTCGATGAGGCGAAGAATTCTCGGTTTTCTTTTTTTATTATCCCCTCCCCCCCTCCCCACTTCCGTTCTTCTATCCGTTCTCTTTTTTTTTATTATATATATATATATTCCTTCATAACATTCGTTCGTCCTCCTTCTAACTTGATCTCCTGATTTACTGCACTGCCGGTGATTTTGATTTCTCGAACGATCGAACTTTGCGAGGAAAGGCGAGGAATATCGATTGTATGATAAATCGACGATTTATATTTCCAGAATCGGATCGTTTTTTGATTCGAAGGATAAATGTGTTATCTTTTTTATAAAAAGAAAAGAAAAAAAAAAAGAAAGGAAAGTGAAACGAAAGTTCGATCAAGATTCCTTTCCTTTGATTTCTTTCATTCGCGTGTCGTTTTTTACGTATTTTAAATAAGATTTTTCTCGCGAGCAAAAGAAAAAAAAGGAAAAAAAAAAAAAAGAAGAAAACGGTCGAGAAAGTCTCCAATTTTCCTCCGTTCGAACGATAGAAGATAACTCTCTTCGCATTAGACGAATCGATCCGCGAGCGGGAACAGGAATCCTCTTTGATTTTTCGTTTTCGTTTTCGCGGATGCGATTGCGGCGAAAAAGAGGCGGAAGACGGACGATCTCTTTGTTGTATCCGAGATATAAAATCATCGCGCACATATCAGTAGTGATTAATGCATTTTACCCGGCGTCTTTGCTCCCAACTTCATTATCCACAACGTGAATAATCCGTTCGTCGAGGAACCGGTTTCGAATCTTGTCAAGCCGATGATGAAGTTTAACTCGAGGACGCTGCCAATTAGCGTGTAACGTAGACTGTCAATTATTACCTGTTACATCGGTTTCCATTCGTAAAGCGAGCCGAGCATTTCACGTAAGCATGCATCACGTAATCGACATCGGCATTATTCTATTCCGAAGGAGCTCGTGCCGCTCGAGCCCAACTCGAACTCCATTAAGAAAAAGAAGCACGCGCGCTTCTTTCCAGGGTTCGAGGGAACAGTGTCAAGGGAATCTTCACGCGTTCACATTTCGAATCGTTTCGTTGCGTTCGCAGAGACTTTCTCGAATCTAACGTGAAAAGAAAAGAAAAAAGGGGGAGAGAGAGAGAGAGAGAGAGAGATGAAAGGAAAATAGGAAAGGAAAGAAAATTGTCGAGAAGACAGAATAGAGAGAGAGGAGAGAAGAAAATGTATGTGTGTGTGTGTGTGTGTGTGAGAGAGAGAGAGAGAGAGAGAGATGTAGTATGCGTGTTTTCTGCCATCGTAAAGTCAATTTTATCGTGTACGTATGTATATGTATCGTTTCAATAGAAGAACGGACGCTGCAGGTAGATATTTTTGCTGAAACGATTTGTGAGGGACGATTCTTCGATATTACGTGGCCTGAAACTCGAAAGAATAGAGAGAAACGAGAAAGGAAGATTCGAAGGTTCAGCGATTTCATTATATCTTTGTCGGATCGTAAGAAATTATATGGCAATATCATACGAACCGGCTATAAATCCTGGCCTTCCTGGTGTCATTTTTATGCGTATACAAGATCATGGTTCTTAGTTTGCGATCTACTATATCGTACTCGATCGATTTGAAAATGAAGAGGATCGAGAATGATACGGGATCATACGAAATGCTTCGATAGGCGATAGTAGAGAGATGATACTGATGATAAATGCGGATTAAAGTGATAAATTAAGGATTGTTGAGCTACGAAGATTTTTTCGTATGGCATTTGGAAGAATTATTCAAGAAAGGGAAGGAAAACTTATAAATATCTCGCGACACTAAAATTGTTGGCAATAATATTTCAACTAGAGAAAGAGAGAGAAAGTAGTGGTGGATGAGAGAGAGAGAGAGAGAGAGAGATATGAATCGTGCGGCGTCTAATAATCGATACAGCGCGACGTGCATGTATCGCGTTCAATGCGAGGATAACTTTATTGTACTTTATCGTATAAGAGAGATTTGTAGAGAGTTTATATTAGGCCAATTGTCACAGTGAGAGTTATACGATAGCGATGTTTTTTTCTCCTTCAAAAGAAATCGTGGCCAACTATTTCAATTCCCTTCCCTTCCCAGAGAAGAGAATTTCGTTCCGCTTCGCGTCTGATCCACCATGTTTTAATTAGCTCGTCTTTTATCCTCCCAGTTTTATCATCGCCAAGCTTGCGGATCAATCGACGTTCAATAATTGACGAGAAAAATTGGAGAAATAGCACATAGCATTGGATGAACGAAGTTAAAAATGCTAAAAGTGACAGTCCTCGAACAGTCCAAATAGTTGGCCACAATTATACAGGCGCAAAAGATCGTGTCGCGTTCCAGCATAATACTCGCGTAACAATTGCTTGGATGATCAATTTGTGTGATATAGAAAGGATCCATCGAAGGATAATTTCGATTCAGAATGTATTCTCGTAATTTTCAATGATTTTATTCGTTCCAAGGTACCTGTTCTTGGCCAAATATAGATTAATGAAATTGCGTTAATTAACGTTAAGAGGAAACATAATTTGTTGTTTGGTAGGTGATTTTCTTTTATTTTAGTCGAAAATTGCATCGAGAAGCAAGTTTCGCGTTGAAAAAAATCAAAATTTATAAACTTATTTAATTGTAGGAATTGATGGATTAAAATGATAATCTAATAGCGTAATGGAACTTGCTTCTTTGATGAATCTTTAAAAAAATATTGCTTTGAACGCGTGAAGACTTAGACAAATCATTTTTCATATTTTCTTTTTACTGTTACGTTTTTTTTTTTTTTTAATCAAATTAAGTGTTCAAGCTAAAAAAGCACGTTCAAATGGAGAAAACTTTTCGAATAGTAGATTTTATCAATTCTATTTTTTTTAATTTCGTTCAAAACGTCAGACATGCGAAAAGAAAATAAAAATAATTCTTCAGAAATTGTATTACGCGATGTGTTACGATCTGTACGAACAGACGATGAATATGAACAAAAATCAAATAAAACGTTACAATGAATGTTAGTTAATCCAGTTTAATTTTTTCATCCGATCAACCTATCAAAATATATGCAAAAATAAAAAAAATCAGAAATAAAATAGGATTCTTCTTTATCGATTTAATACAATACGTTTCACAATAGAGAGCGTTACGATTCATCATAAAAAGTAGATGATTACTTATATTGCTCTTCTATCTAGTCATGCTCAGCATCATATAATATTTATACGTAATTGTCAGACACGCAGTTAAAATCAGTGTAATATTTCATTATGTTAAAAACTAAACTCACCGCATTATACGTTAGCTTTTCTCTTATTGGGATCGTTCTTGCCACATTGAAAGAAGGTATAACTAAATTTCATCAATTCGTCCACGTTTTGTAATTATCGTTAACTCTCTGCAATCATCAGCGAAACAATTGACTTCCTCCAATGATAACGTAGTATAAGCGATATTTTTTCTCTTATATTTTCTTTCATTGATCTTGCCGAAGTATTCATATCTAAAATAATCATTTTCACGAACAAATATCACGATTATAATTCTTCATTCAAAATATGAATTTCTATTTATAGAGTTATCATTTGTTTATCATTATGCAAAGTACACGTGCTGTGTACGTGCCACGTGAACAGATCCAAAAGACGGAGACTCCATTGTTTCCATTAATTATTTAATCAAAATTTTTTCTTTTGTCTAGACATTCAATATTGGCGGAAATTGGCTAATGAAGAATTGGAAGAAGCTCTATCATACAAATGGAACACGAACAAAGCGAAGAACGTGATCGTTTTTGTAGGCGATGGCATGAGTCCTGACACCATAACCGCCAGTAGAATATACCGTGCAGGCGAGACTAGTCGTTTGGCTTGGGAAAATTTTCCTCACATAGGCATTCTTAAGGTCTTCATTCCTATTAATCTTCTACAAAACGATTACAGAAAAGATAACTAATATTAACTTTTAATAAAATAGACATACAATACTAACAAGCAAGTACCAGACTCAGCTTCAACGGCAACTGCTATGTTTGGTGGAGTAAAAACGAATTTTGATCTAGTTGGATTAGATGCACATGTAACGCTGAACAATTGCTCTGAAAGTTTGAAAACAGATTATCATGTGGATTCTATTGTTTCATGGGCACAGACTGTTGGTAAAGACACAGGTAAGAATAAATTGAATAAAAATAAATAAAAAAAGAATTTTTTCTACAGGAATAAAAATTCAAATTATGACTTTATAGGATTCGTGACAACTACCAGAGTAACCCATGCAACTCCAGCACCTTTGTATGCGCACAGCGCGAACAGGCGATGGGAATGCGAGTCGAAAATGCCGAAGACTGCTGAAAAATGCAAAGACATTGCCAGACAATTGGTGGAAGATCTACCAGGAAGAAATATCAAGGCAAACTATAATATATCCTGATTATTCAGTAGAATGTTTCGCATCAATTTGAGAGATTGTTAAGTACATCATCTTTCATCTTTTGTTAAAATTATATTAATTCAATTGCATGAAACATTCAAAATCGATAGAATATAATAAAAAATGTTAATTTTGTATCTTTGTTTTAACTTTGTATTTTTGACTTAGGTAATTATGGGAGGTGGTAGACAAATGCTCAAGACCAATACCACAGGCACTAAATACGATCCTATAGACACTTGGGCTGGTCACAGACAGGATGGTAAAGATTTAATCGAAGAATGGAAACGAGACAAATCCTCTAGAGGATTGGCCTTCAGTGTTGTTCAAAATAACGAAGAATTGTCTCGAGTAAATGTTGATAAAGTCGATTATTTGTTGGGAATTTTTGCAAATGGTCATATTAGCATGGACTGGAACAGAGAAAAAGGTCCCAAAGGGCAACCGAGTCTCGAAGACATGACTGTGACCGCATTGAAAATTTTGCAGAAATCGAAACATGGCTATCTTCTCGTGGTATATCTTCATTTTACTAAAAAAAAAAATCTTGTATTAATTGGATATATCAAGTGATAATTTTTAGGTCGAGGGAGGACTTATTGATTATGCTCATCATCGTGGTCACGCTGCTCAAGCATTATTAGAAACCGTTAGGTTCTCGGACGCCATTAATGCAACTTTGAAGATGATCAATACGCAAGATACACTTGTTATCGTGACTAGTGATCATACGCATTCGATGAGCTTTAACGGATATAGCGATAGAGGTTCAGATATTCTAGGTACATACAGGATTTTTACAATAATACATGTTTTAAATTAAACGTAATGAATTGAGAATTATGCAATTATAATTATAATTTATGTTGCAGGCATAGCTCAGAAATCTAAAATCGACGGAATTCCATATACTACGTTGAGTTACAGCACAGGTGGACAGAATAATATGGCATATACAGTTAAAAATAATTCTAATTCTGTTAGGATAGATCCTTCAAAAGAAAATACAACAGCATTCACGTATAGTCAACAGGCAACTATTATATCGGATGAAGCTTATCATGGTGGCGGTGATGTAGCTATCTATGCTATAGGTATATACATATTTCAATGATTCATAACAATCAACTTCAGAAATTTAAATAACAAATATTTATCTTTTAGGTCCGTATGCTCACTTATTTCATAGTGTACACGAACAAAGCTATGTTGCACTTGTGATTGCACATAGCTTTGCATACACTACGGATATGAAATTAAAGTCTGAAAACAACGCTGGAAAACAATATAGTAACGTGATTAATGTTTTCATGTATTGTTGCTTGTTTCTTTTAGTATTATTTCATTGACAAGATAAAAATAGATAGATCATAAATTGTACAGTATTAAAAAAAAAAAAAAGACGGTATATTCAGATTATGTAAGGCTAATGTGTATATTTAAAAAAAAAAAGATCAAAGTTACATATTTTCTTATCATACTTAAGTAAATGGGACAACAAATGGCTATGAAAAATACACTTGGGGTCCACTTAATCACAGATTAGCCTAACTCGCTCAGTGGACGTACTAAGTCTTTCCAAAGAAAGATAATTATATTATATATCTTATGATATAGAATAAATCATTTTCTTCTCGCATATTTATATGTATATATTTTTTTCATCACGCGTCTAATTTTTTTTTATATATATACAAGTTAAAACGATTTTCAGTCTTTTTTTGCTATAGACAATGATTTGCAATACGCTATCCAGGTAACTCGTAAATTGCACTTCATATTATACACAGCGTTAATTACACACGGTGATACAATATTGACAGTGATTCTTAGAATTACTTTGAAAAAGGCAGAAATATAAAATAACAGAAGGATTACGATTTATGCCAGTTGATAAAAATTTATCGCATGAATTTTTAAGACCTATTTGTAAAAAAAAAAGCACATCGTTAACAGCCTTCTTCTACACATCGCAACAACGAGCACACGATTACGTGTATCAGTCCGATAAATAACGAAGTACAAAAGGAAAAAAAAAAAGAAAGAATATTATGAAATTTCCGAACCGACGGAATCGATCGATCGTGATCCTAAAGTAACTATACGAAGCTTTCGATGATGGAAACATGATTATCATGTACATATATTAGAAAAAGAGAGACGGGTATGAATGAATATGAATGAAACTGGTTCATACGATATACAAGACCATATAATAAGTAAAGCCCTACCTGGTATCGCATCGCTTAAGTAATCAAATACGAAAATAGGGAACGGTAAATTAGGCAAAGACTCTCAATACTCTCAGGTCTATTATCTATCCAATGGACAGTTTGATCGTATAGTGATAGTAGTAGATAGTTTAGATAAGCGGGCACAAGATACAATCATTCCGCTTTAATTATCTTGCGACATCTACGCCTAGACGGTCTCATCGATTCAGCATCGTGAAAGAGAACTTTGAACGAGATGTAGGCGAGAAACAGCAGAGCTGATATTAGGAAAATGAAACCAGGCGTATACTTTCCAAATATCATCAGACAAAATAGTCCGATCAGCTGTGAGAACAAAAACAGAGGTGCAAAGTACACGCCTAGGGTCAAGATCAGCCGATTATTTTGTTTGCGCTTCAACTGCCTTGTAGTTTGGAATCTCGCCGTAAATTTGCAAGGTTCAGGGGTCTTTGGTGGCTCAGATGCTTGAAATTCGCTTGAACGAATGCCGCAGAGCAATGATCGTCGAAAACTTTTGTATAGCAAGAAGATCCTCGCTGTGACCACTTGAAGAAACTGGCCGAGACAATTATGCACTTTACGGGCGATTGGGTGCGACTTCGAGTTGTCGAAAGAGTACAGCAGATAAGGCAATAAATTCAAGTTTTGACAACAATGGCGAATTTTCTGCATAGAAGCGTGACGAAATAGCATCGGTGGTTCGCTGTAACTTCCATCTGTGAAAAAAAAAATTATTAATTTATAAAAAATAATCGATTAATAATTGCAAGACATAATTTCATTTTATTTCATTTATCTTCAATTATCGATAAAACGAAGATTTCTTACCTTTTAACATATTGGACACACGTCGAACAAAAGTCGGTTTCCCGACAACGTCCTCTGTCTCGACCATTCCCGATACTTTAGTCATACTGCTTATTGTATTTGAAACAATGATCGTATATACTCCGGATATTCTTCCTTAAACTCTTCGATGTAACGAGTATGTTACCAGTTACACTTGATTACGATTGCTTTCCTCTGAAAAAAAAAATTTTATCATTATTTCACTTATTTTTTACGAAGATATAAACACAATTTTTGTGAATATCTGATCTCGCAAATAAAAGATTCAATTGACAAAGATACGATACCTCTTTTCTTGGAATTTTGAATTCATTCGAGACGAAGATACGTTTCGATCAACACTGAACAGATCTCCGACTTCTCGCGTTACACGAAATGTTGAGTGAAAAGAAAAAGAGAAATGCGACGGTATGATAGCCCTCGCGACCCGAGATTAAAATTTACAGTGCTTTTTTAAAAAATCTTTCCACAATATCGTAGCCAATTGAATCATTTACTTTGTTGTTAACGCCCTGCCAGACTAATTTGGAGCGAACAATCGAAATCTCAAAATGGAAAGGCGCGAAAAGATAAATAACATGCACTGTAGCCGAACGAGTTTTCAACGACACCGAACATTATGAACGTATGTGCTGACGGATTGTCACTTGATCATAATATATCATAAGCGCTCTCCAAGTGCGCTTATCCACCTCCCACCCCTGACTATTATTACTCTGACAACGCAAATTATTAAACGTTTCGTAGATGTAGAATTGATGAACTCGAGGAGAATCTCTACAAATATTTATAAAAATTTTTCAAAACTAACGCAGAAGTTTCACATTAATGATAAATTAAATCACATTATCACAATGTAACCTTGAATGTATGATCGTCGGTGAATGAGTTTATCAAATTCGATACGTTATACATAATTTAAATTTTCTTGACGGTTGGTCACGATGTTACGAAACTAACTGATACGACGAAAAGAGTAAATAAACAAAGAGAGTAAAAAAATCTCGTAAATTGATCCCTTACATAGTATTACCGCATCGCGCACCTATGTATCTAATTAGATACAGCGGAAGCGGTGCAATTGCCGACTGGCCATGAGGCTAATTGATCGCTCGAATTATCGCTACGCCCGGTCAAGAGAATCGAGTGGAATTAAATTAAATGCTCGTTGAAAAATTCTGCGACTTTATTGACTTACCTCGGTTACTGTGGCCGGCATACACGCTTCACTGAGTTAAACGCTCGTACTGTTGTCAGCGTTCACCAACTTCGTTTACCTTTTACACCAATATCTTGTTCGAAATATGCTGTTGTTTAACTATATTTCTCGTAGAGATTAAAGACAATGGAAAATTCGCGAGATGTATACATTATTTGATAACTCTCAATTATCACTCGAGAGATCGACAAAAAGTAACTCGAATTCCTATACAACGCGCAAATCCCTTTGTCAGAAGACGGAGATTGACTGAACTCACGATCAGCGAAGTCTCTTCATTCGTCTGCGACAAAACACAAACAACGACTGTGGTTAACTGTCGAAGCGGCACGTTAAAGCTAGCACGAGTGGCGACCTCACGTTTCCTAGGAGCGTTTCGGTACCGACCAGTCGATTGGTCATCCGCCTAAGTTTCAAGGGTGCTCCAACCAATTGGCACACGTCTACGAGGTACTTATGGGTAGCGCAGCTGCGAAGGAAGCAAAGGGCCGATTAACGGAAACGCGAGAAGAGTCACGTATATTTTGACATGAGGTTTTCTCATGATGTTTCGAAATTATCTGGGTCCTACGACCTCGAGAGAGAGGTTAGTCATTAATAACTTGATTCTGTATTTGTATAGGTATGTCAGGGTGAAAGAATAGATTGTAGTATATACGAATGCCTTCGATATCGATGCGATACTCTTTTGGATTTTTAGATACGCTTTTAAGAAATTACCGTAGATGAACAGATTGATATATTTTGTTACATGTGTACAAGAAAGATAGAACTTTTTTGAGGTTTCTCTGGATAGGAAAAAAACGTGAAACAGCCACGTGATTTAATCAAATAACGAAATTATAATATCAATTGTAAGGAAATTTTAACTGTTTCATCGAGACGAAAACGTGATCCGAATTAAACTGTGACACGTGATAGTGATGAAAACGATTCAACTTAGCACGTGTTCTCGTGAGTGAAAGCCATGGATTGATCCGTGGCCAGCAAATTTAATTTATATTAGTGTATCAGTGTAGTTTTTAACCAGTACAAAGTTCACAAGAAATTTTTTTGAAATTTTATTAAAATATTGAAATGTTTCGATATAACTATTCATATCAGCGTCATTTGAATTCCAAATAGAATAATGTCAGCGTTATCTAAAATCATTTAAAAAACTAGTTCAATTCTAGTTCACCAAAAGAATCACGCAGCCGCTTTGCTCTTTTTCCTTGAACAAGCTTAACATGCGGGTAGACCATGCTAGAGGAAGCTTTCCAAGTGCAATACGCTCACTTTTATCGTGATTCTTTAATATTAATAAACCGATGAACGTCCGAAATAAAAAAAAACAATCTGACTGAATCATTATCGAAAGTGTATTGTACATTGATTGATTATTATCCTGTTAAAAATAAAACGAGGAAAAGAAATATTTTAACGACAATTACACTATTTTCAGGTGAATATCGTGAGCATTGATGAACATAAACCTTGTGCAACATTTCATTGATTTCTGACGTAATACGAGCAAAAGACTGGGTAGATGATACGGGAAAAACGTATGGGTTACTACACGTAGGATTGAAAACCACGAAGCATCTATTCACAGCTTGTGTTCACGCGATGCTCGCGTGATTACCAGTTCGATGTTTGAAAAATCCCACGGGACCCGGTCATTTTCTAATTTCCTATCGTACAATCTTGAGTGGACGTTGGTCCATTGATTAGAGGTTCCGGCGACACTTGGACTTCTCTTATCTTCGCCTCTTTCCATCGTGTACTCACTATCGAAATACGCAAACGAGCGAAAAAATTAGACTGCACGCAAAAAAATGCTAGCTTCCATTGCTATTCCTTAAATTTATTAAACATAATTAATCTGTCGCCATGATACATCGAGGATTAATGATTTACGACTTTGTAAATTAAAATTAATAAGCAAACAAGAAATTCGTATTGGATTGAGAATAAGGTAAGCATCTTTTTTTTCAATTACATTTCTTTTCATGTGTATTGAAATTAAATCAAAGTTATTAAATATAATTAAATCATGTTAATCATGATAGTAAAGAATATTATTATTATATTCTCGTTCTAAAATTAAATTTGATGAAGGGAAAAAAAAATAATTAAAATGTGGCGAATAATATTCCAATCAATGTCAAACTGTTCTTCCTTAGAATTTCGCAATTGATGGATGTAGAGGAATCATCAATCACGGCGGTGACATTCGAAATTTCGTGGATTTGGGTCGCATCACGCTAGACAAAATAAAATTATGTAATTCCATCAGAGACGCTGTCTGCCTATTTTGACCTTTCCAAATAATAGATATAGACTTCGAGAATCCAAACATAATGACTATAAAACGAAAAAAACATATCGTCGTATAATTATCTTGTTGAGATCTGTAACATATATGAAAATTAAAGAATTAGTCATTATTTTGTCACCAATTCGCTTTATTTTTAATCTTATCTTTTTTTTTTATGGCCATCGTCTGTACATTAATCCATCGATCATTTATCAACAATTTATTAAGAAATATTATCAAGAGACAAAAGAATAAGGAAATGATGGATCGTCTTTTGTTTTTTTGAAATAATAGAAATAATAAGATGCAAAACAAGTAAAATTGGCTTGAAAATGGAATTGAAGAAAAACTTTGGTAAATTTTGTTTAACTTTGAATAATTTAGAAAAATTTTGTGTTCCGTTCGTTTTTGGAATAATAATTTATCATTATTTTATTAATTTATTATTATGTTGTGCTTATGATAAGTTGATAATCTCATTGGCAAATATTATATAGATAATCGCAATTTTTTTTTAAACTACAGATCAACTGCGTTACGTAAAATTTTGATACAACAACACCGCTTGATCGTGTTTTTAAGTAAGTATTAATATGATTTTTTATATTAATTAGATACATTTTTTTAATTTTTTTCAGTGATATTTCGACGAATGACTGAATATTGCTGTTGAATAAAAAATCGAAAAAAAAGATAATGAAAACAAATGGAAAATGATAATCTATGTGATTCGTGCAGTGAAGAATCAAATATCTACAATTGACTCATAGAACTTAGAATTATCGAATCAAAATAGATATACGTTGTTTCGTATATCTATGTTCCGTACATGATATAATTTCCTAAATAATAATTATAAAATAGTCCAAATCTCGTGCATAAAAACGTGATTTCACGTGATTCATAAATATTTTTTCATCTATGATAAATAAACATATGATTCTATATTTACCATAGATAATTTTCCCGTTAGTTCCTTCTACATCGAACTTTCAAGAATCTTTTCAAGATCTTTTCTCCTTTATCTTTCATATCGTCACATTGAATTTGCATCGAATTTGTGCATCATTTTGTACGCTATTCACGCGCGTATACGTCATGAAGGACGAATGGGGAAGAGGAGAGTGGATAAAATTACGCAAACGCGTTGGAAAATATACGAAACTTGGTAAAATTTCGTCAAATTAGACTCGACGATTATTTAATTAAAAAAAAGAAAAAAATTTAAAAGAGAAAGAAGGAAAACTGCAATCATTCTATTAGTTTTATTTTTCGTTCGAAAAAACGATAACTAAACGACTTTTTTAAATAGAGCAATTCGCGAAGATTACATCAGATTTTTGGCACGTGTCAGTAACATACATATCCTCCGAGTTCTTATCGAGGATTTAATTAATTGCGTCGTCGGTGTCGCTATCTGGTCTGAACTTGTAGACTCTTATTGCACTGTACTCGTTACCTTACGACCATAAATGCTGCCAGGCGTAGACTTTGTGTAGGTGAGAATGCGGGTACACTGTTACGAAAATAAGAAGAGTCATTGTCCCGTATTTTATACGCAATTGAGACAGATGTGATCGAAGCACGGAAGAGAAGATTAATAAGAAACATAAAATATTAACTTATATAATTTAAATTATACGTTTATATATATGTTTATAAATATTGCTAAAAAGAATTAAAATTTCCGAAAATCGCAAAAAAAAAAATGGAAGATTGTAATGAAACGATGGCAACAAAGAAGATAATTTCTACAAACGGTAAAATTTTATAAAATTCTTAAAATTCTCAAATTAAAAAATTTAGAAACATTTACATTTAGGCCATTAAATAACATTTTCAAGGAATTCGAGACAAAGGAGGATCCATATATTTTCAAACGTTAATCCTACTACGTGCACAATCGGACATTCAAAGAAAATTTTATACAATAGAACTTTTATTACATCCAACTAATTTTCAAATAATGCGTAATGCGTAATAAAAATTTCAATAGTCCGATTTTATTATCGGATTAACAAGGAATTTTCCAATTGTACTAAGTAAGACCCAAGGTCTTTCTTTCTACCTCGACAAAGACTTGTCCTCACCATATAAATTCTACGGGCACAACGATGGATCGAACTTCTTGGAACCAAGCAGAGCTACACCTTTGTCGAATAATTATCGAATAATTTTCCTAGATAGAGACGAGTCTTTTCCCTCATAAGGAGGTAAGATGACGGACTAGGTGTCCAATCATTTTTCCGCTTACTCGGAATAATTCTCCGGTTTGGAATTACCCGCTCCTCACGATTGTACGCTTTCCCCCCTCGCGCTTCAAAGCCGCAGAAACTCGTCTATTCTCGTGTCCACCATTTTTCGTTCCCTATATGTGTCGACAGGTCGACGAACGGCACACGGATACGGCCCTGGCCGTACTCCGCAAACGACATTTTTCAAACGTTGCTCGGTTTGCGCTCGCGGTTGCGAGAATCCGCTTCGCATCGGTCGCGCGATGCCACCGGGGTATACGGGGTATAGCAAGAATAGTAAGAAATGGCAAAAGGTGTGGAGCGGTCAACGAGTTCCTCCTCCTTCTCCCTGGTGGAAAAAAAAGTCGAGGGATTCTGGGAAACGAATCTGCATCGTATAAATTAATCGCGAGAGATATTGGATATTTCGAGAAATTAAAAATTATCGCGTGTGCGTGTATTCCTTTCCCCACTTTTGTTTATTCCTTTCTGAGAAATGAAAATACACGGGGGGGGGATCGGATATTTCAACGAGTAAAAATTCCACCATCGTGCCCGTTTTCGATCTTATTTTTTTCCTTCCTCCCGAGAATCGAAAGAGCCTGTGGTAATTTCAAGGGTGATAATCGATTTTCTCTGTGACTTGAAAATGTGCAGGAATAAATTAATCGCGCGTGATAAATGAGTGCGGCCTACCATGAAGATGCGATACCGAGTCTTGGCCGAGAAGGCGATCTGCGTAGCTGTGAGGATCGATTACATCATTGGAGGGACAAATTTCATGGTTCATTTGATAACGAAAGATCGATTAAATTTTTATCAAGAAAATTAATGACTTTGTTTTTTTTTTTTTTCTATTTTTTTACTGTGTATTTTTTTTTGTTTTTTTTTTTGTTTTCATACTCATTACACTTATTTGCTTCTCCTCAAGAAATCAAGGGTCAAGAAATCTTCGATTTTTGCTTCGTAAGAAAATAGACGAGGATTTTAGAGCAAATTCCAAGTACCAGCATCGTACCCAGAGTCTATGTATAGTGCACGATCTTAAACTCTAGAAATAAAGTACTCTTATCTAAATTTTTCTTAGTCCGATTAGATAAAGAAATAAGTATCAGTTTCATACAGTTGTTAAAGAAGAGATAGCTGTGCATTGTGTTGTCCTATTTATTCATAAATTTTTATTGCATTTTGTGATCGAAAATTAATGAATGTTCATGTTTTATATAGCGTAATTAAAATTATCAAATTAATAAGATGTTTTGAAAACTTTACTTTTATTATTAATAAAAATATCGATTACAATAGTAAAAATAAATATTGTTGAGTCTAAACAAGAGTATTTTATTCACATATGAGATATAATAAATTAATTTAAATCTATTTATCCCATTTCATATTTTTAAATCTTCTATAATTAGAAATATCATCGAAAAACATTAAGTGTAGCAAAAAAAAAAAAAAAATAACAATTATAAGATATAATTATGCAAATGTAATAATTAGTATTTCTATATTTTCTATATTCTTTTAACATCTCTACCGTCTTTATGTATTATACTATATTAGTAAATATAAAAAAATCTTTAGTATTAAAAAAAAAACTGTAAAAAACTTTCAATATTATAAAACAAACAATTGAAAAAAATAACTATGTAAATATTGACTATCTCTATTAAAAACATTGAGCATCGCAAGAAATAGAAACAGTTAAAAAATAGGCAAAAATAAATACATAAACCTATAATCAGAATTAAGTAAAATGATTGAAAAATTAATAGTTCCTGAAAATATGGCTATTTAAAGAGGTAAGTACGTAAAAGGTAAGTATAAGATGAGTAAGTAACTTAAATTTAAGGAAATTTCGGAAATTTCCAGGAATTTGACGTCATTTCCAAGAATTTTCTCAAAATAAACAACAAAAAATGTAAATAAACAAACCTTTGTTTGCAAACAAACGAAATTTCTAAGACGGGGCATCAAAATTTCTCTAAAATTTCGAAAATTTTTGTAAATAAACATTGAAAATGTAAATAAACAAACCTTTGTTTGTAAATAAAGAAAAATTTTGACTTCGATAGATATATAAATTTTCGAAAATTCTAAGAATTTGACGTCATTTCCAAGAATTTTAGAAGTTCCAGAAATTTGACGTCATTTTTAAGAAACTTTTGTAATAAATCATAAATATTCATTTTGTGTCAGAAAAATATAATCCGAAAAAAGATTGTTTTTGAAAATTTTTTTGAAATTTAATGGTAACTAAACGTAATTTAATGGTAATTTATAAATACTTTTTTTATATATTTTTAAGTATTAACATTTTTTTATATACTTACCTTTTTATACGTACCTTTCAAGATATATTTTTTAGAGGTCACGGAAAAGACATTTTTTTCATTATTTTACTTAATATTAATTGTGAAATTTAATATACTTATTATTATCTATTTTTACGTTTTACAATCTAGCTCTTGAAGCTGTCGTATTTTTAGAAAATATTGGAAAAAAAATATATATATATATAAAAGAGATATAGAAAAATTAATTTATATCTAAATTATGTATAAATATGTAGATGAATGGATAACATAGATAATAAAGTTAATCAGATATTATCAATATTATCTTTTAAATAATTTAATCTAGAAGAAATATAGACGAGGGAAGCATGTATTTATAAGGAAGAAGGGAGAGAGAATAAAAATCAGCACTATCTTCAGAGTGTTGCAGATAAATCAAATAGGAAGGGCAAACAGTATGAAAAGGATAGAAATAGAGTTGGGAATAGATTGGGAATTGATCATTAGCGTCATCTCTTAAATGTCAAAAACATTTGTATGAAGGCAAGATAAATTAGTGTAAGAATTGCATGTTTGCGCCATCTTTTTAATATGTATATCGAATGTTTTGACATTCAAGAGATAACGCAAATGCTCAATTTGTACTCTGTTTTATCCTATGTTCAAAGTAATGTTTTTGGTGTCCGAGAGATAGCGTTGACTGTCAATTCTTATTCTATATCTATCTTTGTCTCTATATTTTCTATCCTTTCTCTATGTGTTTCATTTGCGGCACTCTAGAGATGGCACTGATTCCCATATTTTTTCCCTATCTCTATCCTTCTTTCGTTATTTGTTTTCTTTTTCTATGATTGGGCGACATTCAGAACGTGTTTTATTAATTTTTGTAACAGTTCCGCTGAATTTATTTATAGGATTCAATAAAGATTGAATTATCGTTTGAAGTAAAAATAATTACACGTTGTTCATTCATTCTAATTTAGATAATTTAATATTTAATCTGAATTAATTTTCATTAACTGGATTCAATTTTTATTAATATCCGATTCAATTATTATTATCAATCGTTCGAATCTATGAAAAATCTACGCGTTTAAATAACACGTTATTGCGAAGTTAATACGATCAATAAATATTTCCACATACAAGTACATCTTGCAATAATAAAATTTTACAAATGTAATACATTCAAAGGAATTATCTTATAATATATAATTATGTTTGTTTCTTTTAACCTCGCGAAATACAATTTTTCAATTCTGATTGATACAGCCTATAACGTTCGATGATAATAAACATTGTATATTGATGATATAAGAAATATCGTAAAGCAAGTT